ATTGACTATTTTCCAATTGCCCATAATACACTCTGTTTGCCCCCCAAATTTTGCATAACTTATTGTCTTAAAATGCTCTTGGGAAAATGCAATACTCCCAGGAGCATTTAAAAACAATGGTTTATGCAGAATTTGGGGGGCAAACAGAGTGTATTATGGGCAATTGGAAAATAGAGAATACGCAGCAACCTTGTCCCCAGGGCGCTTTTCCCTGGCTTTGGAGGTATACGCAGGTGCCGAGTACAAATTACGCGCCTTTCGCGCTTGCCCAGCTTGGCTCGAAGCGAGGAAACGGAAGGTAGCGACTGCTACGGAGGCTAGCAAACACATAACAAAAAAACCTCCGGCCTCCTGGATCGATATGCATCACCTCCTTCACCAACATCTAAAACAGATGAAGGGAGACCACACAAGCAATACGATAATGTGGATAGTGACAATGTAGGACCTTTGATATGTAATTTGTGCTGATTAATCGAGACAGAAGAGGACTTAACATAACATAACATAACATAACTTTATTATTTATATAGCGCAAAATACATGGGTATATGATCTGATGCCCTTTACATTACAATGCTTATAATACTACAATGAAATGGATAAAAAAATTACAGCTTCTCTAAATGCATATTAGATAAAAATATTATATATGCATACAAAAAATCTATGTTAAAATATTATAGGTTATAAGCAAAAAGCTAATTTAAAATAATGAGTTTTTAACCGTGCCATAAAAGTTTTGAGACTGCCCAAAGCTCTCAACTCGTCTGGAAGGGCGTTCCACCGGGTCGGCGCAGCTGTAAAGAACGACTTGATCAATCCCAAACACAAGTTAAAATTGTAGAAAGGAGTTATATTAAATTCTGCAAGCAGAATGCTGCAATGCTGATCGTACTACAAGACATCAACACGACACCGAAAGAACTCAAAACAGAGCGGAATTGTAGCCATAGACAGCTGTTTCGTCCTCTTTGGGGCTCGTCAGTATGGCGTAACAACCAGAGATCAGGCTCTGATGAAAAAATATCCGCGCACCCTGATTTTTGCCCTGACCCAGAACTCCTAACACCCACAGAATCACGTACACCACGTGTCTTCTGGGGGGCAAGAGTCCAAGTGTCAAGCTGATGTCTCGCAGAGAAAATAAACAATTGGCCAAAACCAATTTAAAAAACATGGACAAAACCATGCAAAATAACAGCATATCGGATCTGTAAAAGATCTACGGCCCAAGAATTATAAAAGTACAGACATGAACCACAAGGGACAGCACAGGACCGCAAACGAATATGACGAAGAACGTAGGATCTATAAAGACCTGATCAGCAAAAATAATAATGTAGACATATTAAATTCTGCAAGCAGAATACTGCAACGCTGATCGTACTACGTGAAAATTAACTCTGCAAGACATCAACACGACACCGAAAAAACTCAAAACAGTGCGGGATTGTAGCCATAGACAGCTGTTTCACCCTCTTTGGGGCTCTTCAGTATGGCGTAACAACCAGAGATCAGGCTCTGATGAAAAAATATCCGCGCACCCTGATTTTAGCCCTGACCCCAGAACTCCTAACACCCACAGAATCACAAAACCATGCAAAAATAACAGGTCTTTATAGATCCTACGTTCTTCGGCATATTCGTTTGCGGTCCTTTGCAGTCCCTTGTGCTTAATGTTTGTACTTTTAAAAAGGAGTTGTTGTTATTTTTTATTATTACTGTTTATTTTATAGTCAGTTATTTTTTTGCGGATTGAAGATTTTTTGTGTTTTGCAGAAACTTATTTTTGTTTGCGATTTTCAGAAAATCGTGTTCAGATGGACCGTTAACATTGTCGTTTTTTGGCGTGGCAGGAGATTTTTGGAGGAGGTTACTTTTACAGATTGAATACTCATGATGTGTTTGCGGATTGTGGGAATTGGACTCGTGCAATTTATTAAAATTTTCGCTATATACTTATTCCCAGAGCTCCGCTGCCTTTTACATTCTTGTCTCTCTGATGTACCGCAAAATTCCGAAAATAAGGGACTGTGCAATAATTATCAGGAGGGGGGGGGGTGCTGAAAAACTAGAGTTATCTAGCAAAAACTTAGACAGTACCCCCCCGCCTCCAAAACAAAAAAGTTAGTTCTAACCCCCCTCTGTTATGTTAAAAATAACATCGCACCCCCCTACCACCACCCCCACACACCCAAACACACACTCACCCCTCACCGCCACCATTACCATAGATGCCTTTAAGTAAATACCTTTTATATTGTCATGCTACTGTAATCATTGTCCCTGATGCTAAAAGAAGAATTTCTCTTTTTGGAAATAAGCTTTTGCCAGATTTTTATGAAAGCTTCAAAGTAAGGGCTGGATCTAATGTTCAGTTGATGAAAAGAATGTTCGTTGCTGAAAGGGACAGATAGTATAACATTACAATGGACATTGAGCAGCCGGAAAATAGGTTTCAGTATCTATTGTCCGACAATCCAGATTTCTCTGTGATGACTACAAGCCAAACCCACATGATGACAGTAATATCACTAGATGTAAAAATGAGGCAAATGAAATCAAGCTTGAAGAGAAATGAAGAAACATTACTTTTATTCACATTAAAAACCGACAAAGCTTGTCTACGAGATCTGTTTGATTCCCATTGTTTTATGGGGGAAGCTGAAAAACAAGTTCATGATTTTTGCTTTACATAGGATCAGCTCAATTAATTAGAAGACGGGTTAAAATTGATCAGTTGTGAATTTGCTTTTCATTTTGATGGAATATTTTCA